AATCTTAATTTTTTGTTTATTTCCCAGTTGCAAGGATTCTTAATTTAGTCTCTTTTTTTTTTCGCAGGTCTTGTGCAGGGATGGGCTGCGATAGTTATGGGGATATTATCCGGCAGCGTTCCCTGGTTCACAATGATGATAGTCCACAAGAAATCTCCAATTCTTCAGAAGATTGACGATACACTGGGCGTCTTCCACACCCACGCAGTGGCCGGTCTTCTCGGTGGCATGCTCACAGGCCTCTTCGCGGAGCCCAAGCTGTGCGCTCTGTTTTTGCCCGTGACGAACTCGCGGGGAGGGGTTTACGGGGGCAGCGGAGGGATGCAGCTGCTGAAGCAACTAGCAGGTGGCGCATTCATCATCGGATGGAACTTGGTGGTGACGTCCATCATCTGCGTGGTGATCAACTTGGTGATACCGTTGCGGATGTCGGAGGAGCAGTTACTCATCGGAGACGACGCCGTGCACGGCGAGGAGGCTTACGCCTTGTGGGGTGATGGGGAGAAGTATGATTCCACCAAGCATGGATACTCGGATGATAACAACAATAACAAGACATCAACTGGAGCCACTCAGGTTGTGTAGAGGGCCGGCTGCCGGCGTATCAAAAGTCATCTTCTTTGTGTGCATAATTGAATTTGAAAGGGATTGTTCATCAAAGCTTTGGTTAATTAGTTACGTACACATTAATTACAAACCGTTAATTAATATTGTATTTTTAATAAACAGAAGCATGATTCATAGGAAGCCTAAAGTACTCTCCGCACCCCCATCCGGTGTATTTGTCATTCAAAAATTACTTGAATTACAATATGCTGCCTTGTAATTTTTGTATAATGGTGCACTTCAATTTAATTTAAAAAAATTGAAATTATTGTGTAATTTACTTTTCTTTTTTGATTAAATGTTTTAATCTATATAGTTTGATGTAAGAAAATTAAGCCAGCTAGTTGCCAATGCAGTTTTTCGTTTAGTAGCGAACAGTGAGACCTCCGAATCTTTGAAGTTATGGGTTTGGCTTTTGCAAAAATGACAAGTTTTCTTCAAGTGTTTCTTAATTTACTTTTTTTTTTTCTGAATTTTTTAGTATTAAAAAATTACATTTTGAATCTTAATTAATTCAAAAATAAATCACATTAGACTTGAAAAGAAAATTCTTTCAACTTTTATTTTTTTATTCACAAATTTCAAATTTAAAAATTTATTTATAAAAAATTTTTAACTCTGAATTAACATGTCATTTGTTCTTAATTTATGTATTCTACTCAACTAAAACCGTCTATATTATATGCACTTATAAGGCATTTATGAGTTTCCACGTCTCATTACATTATTGTGAAAGAAACTCGGAAAATTTTGTTGGGAAAAACTGGTGTCACCTGAGCACAACGGAAACAAAAGTACCATCAAAATCCTCCCCAATTTGTTTGAAATTCTTAGGAACAAGTTAAATTGAGTCCAAATAAATTATAACAGCAGCTAAAAATATGCAGAATAATAAAAATAGCGAAGGCAAACCAACCACACAAAGAGCGCATTATTTTACGTGGAAAATCCCTAAAATAGATAAAAACCATTGGACATTCAGTCCACTCAAAATAACTCCATTACGATAAAAGTGAGTACACAATATCCTCTTCTAAACAACGCACAAAAACAACACCAAATAAGAGTAACAATAGGCCACAAACCAACAAAGTAAAAAAAAAAAAGATCACAAGAAAACAAAGCACCAAAATACGAGCTACTGTTTAAGGTATAAGAACTGAACCTACAGAGCCCAAAACGAAAAACTGACCGTTCAGATTGTAGATCAAAGTCTTGTAAACCCTCAGACCAAATTTCAGCTCAATCCAACAGTGAACATTTGCGGATCGGACAAAGTTGCAAAACTGTGCACTATACCAATCTGCAGAATTCTCCCCTGCTTTCTTTTCCCTTTTCTGCCGGCTGGTCCCTCACGTGTTCTCCACTTTCTGCTATCAAAATCAGACTCCTTTCTTTGTCTTAAAGGGCTGCAAAATGTGGCTTCAAATGGGCTTAACAAGTGTGGGCTTAGTCCACAAATATTGGTCATTTCTCCACATAGGAAGGATAACCCAACAAATTTCACGGCTGCCCTGGCCCCTCTTAGGTCACAACCTTTTTCTGAACCTACTCCGGCGGGGCTGATCACCATTCTTTTTGGTGCTGTCGTGGGGTGGGAGGTTCCTCCCTTTTTCTGGAGAGCTTAGCATCTTTCCAAATCCAGAGTACCAACAGAATATTGTAACTGAATAATTACCCTAAGCAAAACTTTCTTATTATGACACTCTCATAAAAAACATTTCCAAAAATTGTTTATCCTGAAGAAACGGGGGGCCAAGGAGCATGGTTGAAAGGAAGGAAAATCTAGAAGAAAAAAACACATAAACATAATTATACCTCTACAAGTTACACACAAAAAAAAAAAAATTAATCCCACTCTAGCTATACAGAGCAGTTAATCTCTTAGCGGCCTTGTTCCTAGCCAGTTGCAAGAACCAGCAAACAGACACCATGCCTCATACTGCTCTCTCGTCTCTCAGATCCTCAGTGCATGTATCTCATGAAAGCCTGCAGGATAGAAATACTAGCAATAGCAATACTTCTATTATGTTATTTACATTTCATACAGTATA